ATATATTCTTCTTCAAATAGGAAATTTCACTATTTCCATGACACTTTCACCATGAGATCAAGGTACCACAGTCACATATAATAGAAGACACTATAATTTGTTTACATATGAGGTGCTATATCACTACTGTTGAGATTAATCCTTTTTCATTTTTCAATAACACTTACAATATTTGTCTAAAGGCCTCCTTAACTCTTTTTTTTACCCAGTTCTTCCAAATTAGTTTCCAAGATCAACATCAATCTAACTAAAACAAATTTCAAAGTATCTTTGAGATACAGAAAATAAAAATTCATGGTTTTCATTGGTGCCAGATTTTTATTTGGTAATGCAAATTATAACTAGTTTTCTACAAATATTTAGAACTACTAAGTGATAGGAATATTAAAACCTTACTAGACAAATTGTTAAGATTAAGCTTTCATGTGCTATGCATCAAAATGAACCTCCTTTCTTTAACAAGATCCTTAAATGTATTATTGATTAAATAACTAGCACTTTCATTTAGATTTACGAAAGAAATTGCATCCCAATAATTAGAATATTTCCACTACTAGTAAAAGGCAATAAAGTTTTTACAGATCTGCCAGCCTTTAGGAAGCTCAGAACTTGTCAGAACTAGTCTTAGCTGACCTAGTTTTACCTTGTTATAACATTTTCCTAGTGGTGAAGTAATCCCTGTTTTCTTTTCCCTTAGCAGTTTATTGATCAGGCTGAGAGAGGTCTGTCTGACATGCATGGAAAATAATATCTAAAACTTTCAGTAGGGTAAGAATAGTGAGGGGAGCAAGCTAAGTTTCTGCTTAGCTCAAGAGTAAAAAAAAAAAAGTAACATTCCCATTTGTTAGACAAGAATGCTAAAGGCTAAGTGGCTCAACAGGTAATGGAATGAAACCAGGCTGGAATAGGAAAAGAACAGACATAAAATAAGATGAAGATGAGTAAATTCAAAATTTGAAATTGGACCCCAGGTTTGCTGATCCTACAATTTTTTTTTACTATAGGAAACATTAAGCCATAGGTTGATAATCCTACTACTACCACCTCTACAACAACAGCAGCAGTAGCAACAACAACAAATTAAAATATCTTTTAAAGTTTGGGATTGTTTTTGTAACTATATAGAATTATGATATGTGATGCTGATGTGGTATGTGATGGGTTTGTTCATCTACAGATTTCATGTACTTTATGTACTTCAATGACAGTGATAAGAAACTTGATTAAGTCAGGCTTGGAAATAAGTGCATGTGCCTTCCCGTTTTCTTGAACATTTCTTTGCTTCCTAGAGATGGGAGCACTCAATTTGAAAGCAACTATGCTTACAATACAGATGAAAATAAAAATATAGATAAGTCTGGAAGAAGAGTGAAGCTGAAGCTGAGATTTGTATTTGTTTCTTATAAAAGCCTGCTTTACAGTTTAAAATCTTTACGTTTTCAGAAAATGTCATTAATTTAGCAACACAGAACCTCTAAATTATGATCAATGCTACTTTAAAATTTTTAAAACGTGTTGTGTATATCAGCAGACCAAATTGATATAACAGACCCACCATACAGACAGGAGAAATTGGATGAATTATATTTCTGAGATGTTTTATATTTCTCATGAGAGAGAAAATTCTCAGTTGGTGTTAAGTATTTATTAAGACTAAGACCTCAATATTTATTCAACGGTTATTTTATTACTGAAAAACGTCACTGATGATCTACTCTAGAAAAGAACTGGTAAGACAGAGTTAAAAGATTCTTCAGAGTTAAATGATTCTTTGAAGTTAAATGACTTCTCAGAGTCTTAGTTTTTAGAGAATTATATTTCATCTAAAATATATAAGAGCTCATTCTGCATTATAGTTCCAGACTGAAGCATTTTTCCACGACTTGTTTCCTACCTTCTTTTTCTGAATCTCAGTGTCTGCTGCAGAGTGTCATAGAAATCTTCCTATACAATTTTAAAGAGCATACTTGTTTTCTATATATCCTCTTAAAAGAATTTTACTTGCTTGAGAAAGGTAAAAGAGCAATGTGTCAATTATCAGAGTGCTGACAGCAGCATGCAAAATAATACAGTGAAAAACTTTTACTTTCACCTGTTCCTTCTTAAGATGGTCAACAGGAACTCATTATTGGAACTTCCCTCATTATGCAATAAAAATGTTTCTCCAATACAATATGTTGAGGATTTAACTGTACTTTAAAACAGAAAAAGATGCATGAAAATTTAATTGCATAAGCTCTTATTTTACTCAGTGTAACAACACTATACTGCAAAGGTTTTGTGACATAGAGTTAGAAAGTGCGTGTGCTTTAAAAATGAGAGTATGCTGTTACTGATTTTCTGAAGGGATGAAAATACATTTCAACAACATAGCAAAAATATCATCGCCAGATGGTGCACGTTTTGCTACAGTCGGTGTCATTACTGAATTCTTATTTAAAAGTCTGGGAATTTTAAACAAATGAGGTTACAAAACATAACTGAGCTAAGTCAGGCATTTCAAAAAATGGGTCAGTAAGGTGTTAGAATCCAGTTTTTGTTTAAAGGAAAGCTTGGATTCAAGGTCACATCAAAGATAGAATTTAGATGTGCCAGTGTTTGGGAAACTGCTGTCAAATCAGCTTAACCATAGTGCCTAGAATCTTAAAAAGAGTTTTTATTGTCCTGAAGCTATTCTGGATTAAAATTTTATTATTATAAATATTTCTGCTTTGATTTTTACCTTTGTGAAAACAGAAGCTGAAGAGAGACTCCAGTCAACTTTGGACTAATCCTAAATCATAAATCTATGGAAAAGTTTCAGCTTAAGAAATCAAACAGGAATTTCATTTTGCATGTTTCAAGTATTATTTTTAAAATTTTTCAGAAATCTCTTCTAGTATGAAGCTATCTTATTCAGCAGCTGATTCATACTAATCCTTTCATATCTGACTCAAAGAATCTTGTTTTTTAATGTGTTTTCCTCTGAAATAGAAACTCTAGAAAACAACATTTTATGCACTTCATTTAAGGAAAGTCTTGTACTTGATCTAAAATTCAGTTGTGATTTATCAAATATGAAATTGATCTACATATTACTAGGACTAATCAAAATACCCAAAATATGTACTTAAATATACATATAAACTACAGCTACATTAGTTTTCTCAAATGAGATGTTGATAGAAGCAGTCACTGAACTGCAAAATAAATTAACAAATGCCACTTAAGCAGTTAAGTAGATTAGTAATACATATAGAAATACAGTTATTTTGTTTTCATTTAAGGCTGGTTAACACAGTGTTGTGCAACTTATTCCAGAATCCTTAGCAGAAGTTGGTGATTTTTCTCTCTAACATTAATCATGTACTTACCAGGATTCAAAGCCCTTTAAGAAGCAATTGAGATGGATACTTTACGGAGCACTTCAAAAGTCTTTGCAAGTCCATCCTCTAATAAGTCTTCCCTTCTTATGTGCAGTATGTAACTACAATGCTCAAGACTGCTGACACTCCACTATAGGCTGAAAGCTATGGTGTTCAATTCAAGGATAACTGAATTAGATCTTATGTTAGACTAGATATTCTTCTGATTCCTGGATGTTCTCTAATGTTTGAATTTCACTCCCAGTTATAAAAAGTTATGAAATCACATTCTATAAGCATACTGGAGCAGATTTTATTTTATTTTATTTTATTTTATTTTATTTTATTTTATTTTATTTTATTTTATTT